AGATATTAGCGATTTTTAAAAATTTCTTTATATTCGTTATACAAAGATCCTGCGATCTGATTGGTTAATCATATAAACTGAGTACATACCCATAGGGTACAAATAGAAATTCTCTTATTTAAATATTTTAATTTTATAAAAAAAAAAAAATCTAATCTTACACATAGTGTTTGTACATAGGTATTAATTTTTAAATTTATGTAATTGAAATTAAACAAATTTTTATAAAAATAAAATCCAATTAAAGTTTGGAAGATAAACTTGAAAAGTTATGGAATATCGCCTAGGGCGAGACCTAGAATTTTAGCAAAATATATAGTATCCAAAATTTGGCAAAGAATTTTTTTATTAGAACCTCAAAAGTAGTTTTTTAAGCAAAATTGAGAATTTATCATACGTATGTATATACACTCGTATACAAATAGTAATTGCCTTTATAAAAATATAAATTATAGGCATTGTTACACGAATTTTCTAGGCAAATTAGCTTATTGATTAAGAGATAATCAATAGCCTCACTTATTATTTCCTTTATTCGTGAATTGTCAATTAAGCATTTTCCTGTCAAGTACTTAATAAAACTTATCGTATGTAAGTGATAAGTTATTACTATTAACGTTATGAAAATCTTAAAAAAGTTAATTAACTTGCTTTCTATTGATCTGACTTTTAATTGTGACGTAAGCTACTTTATTTTTATGAGCGACACTAAGGTCAGCTTTTTTTAATGTTCATTTTTTATTGCTAAAAGTCGCAATGGCTTCTTCTTCAGAAGGTAGCTCGTCTGTATCTTGTGATAGCATTGATAAACGTGATGTTTTTTTCACGTCTAAAATATTCGCTTTCTTTATATGTGAACCCTTCTTCATCATCTGATATTATTAGAACAGTTTTATCCGCGTCATTTGATATGTCATCTAATTCATCAGAAATTCCTTCTTGACTTGAAAACATATCCTGGGATGCGATTGGGATAAGGCCATCAATGAATTTCGGCACGGTAGGTGAAATGTCACAAGATGATAGGTTTGGTGGTGAACTGGTGAGTGAATTATTATCGGCTGCTTTCGTATTGTGTCCTTTATTATTTAAGGTAACAGAACGACTTTCAAGCTCAAAAACAGGTAAATTTTGCTCAACTTTTTCCGCTTCATTGAATTGTGGACAAGTATCATTTGACATATTTACTAAATTCAAATCATCAAAATATGTTTCTTCATCCATTGCATAAAAATAATCATCTTCATAATTGGTAAAGAGCATATCATCTATATCGAAATTAACTAGAGAATTTTGTAACCAAGGTTCACTAAAACTATGCCTATCAATAGTCGGTTCTTTATCTAAACAATTATCATGTATAATTTCAGTAGTGACTTTATCGTAATTATCATCATGTATAATTTCAGTAGTGACTTTATCGTAATTATCATCAATTTGTTGACTTTGTTCAGTATTTGAATTAGATGAATTATTAACATCTCGGTCGACATCAGGCGTTACGTCTGCAATGATTAAAGGATCATTTGACCACACTACATTTTCATTAAATAGCTCATCATCATCAAATATTTCTTTTCCATTATCTGACTTAGTTTCTTGAGTTTCTTGGTTTTGGTTAATTTCCGAAGAACTTTCTGTGATTGGTATGCTAAAAGTGGATAATTCTATATATATCATATTAATAGCTTAATATTAAATTAGATGTAATATTTCATGTCTTACCCTAATTGCTTCAGCAAACGGATTTTAATTGCATTGATTGACCTATGTTCCTCAGTATACCCTCCGAGAACAGTGATATTTTCTGGACCAAGAAGTAAAACTCCTCGTAAAATCAAAGCTTTACTAACTGATATCTATAGATAGTAAATGTTTATTGAGAAATATTTACTGATTCCTTTTCAAAAAATTTTCATTATGATGTTTTTTTTTTCTATTCCTGCACACCTTTATTCCAATTGGAGTAAGTAAATTCAGATTCGAAAGAGGCTTATATTCTATAGCATCAACTGATTGATAACCATCAGTTAGTTGGAACTTAAGCATTCCCCGCGGAAATTGAATCGATTCATATTGCTTGTCACTTATATCATTATATTTATGACCCTGCTTCAAAGAACCTGACAAGTGACTATTTATTACATCAAGAAGAGTTTGTGAAGAGACTCCAACTTCAAATATATCAGCTATTTGAAGGATAATCGGTTGATGTTCACCAATGATAACTTTGTGTTTATCTTCAATTAATGAAGGAAGGTGTGGTTTCATAGATTTATTTAAGTCAGAATCCAAGAATTCGTTATAGACAGCTTGATAAAGTTGTTGGTTGTCAAAGTTCGCGTTTTTGTGGTAAAGGAGGCGTTGTTGTAGCCACATATCCTGAAGACATACATTATGAACGGTTTCAAATTGACTTTTTATCGACGAGGATAACATAACACGAAAATTATTACTGGAACAACGTTGTGATCGAAAATTGAAATCCACCGGGGAGCAAGTTTGTTTTTATTGGTTAAAAAAAAATGATCGACAGGTGTTGATTTTATGCGGTGACAAAATGCCAATTTCGTCTGTGATAAAAGATGATTTTGCAAAAATTCTGCGATTGGCCGGAATTACGTAAAGTCGGCCAGCATTATGATCCGTAAATTCTGGCCGAATTAATATCAGCCGGCATTATGATGACTGTAGACCTTAAATCCAGGCCAAAATTAAAAAAATGATTTGCAAAATTCCGTAAACGCAGAAAATCATTGTCTCTAGAACATCTAGACAAAATATAAATGATATCAAAAAGGAGAAAAGGGTTCGAAAACTTCTGAAAAAAAAAGAGTAAAGTCTGAGAACTTTTAAAAGTAAAGTATGAAGTAATCTTAATTAGTTACAATCAGTTGGTATTAAATATTTTAGTTTGATTATCTAACTAAAGAAATTTTTTTTAGCTCAAATCACTAATTAAAACTTTTCATTGTAATAATAATGTATATTTTTTATATTTTGAATGATCTTGCTTATCATTTTATTAAGAGAAAGTTTAACAAGAAGTTACAAAATAATTTAATATATAACTATACTAATTTGTTTTTCTTAAACTATTTCAGACTAACTTGGCTATTTCAAAGATACCTAAGTTCGATCTGCCACAGAAATCATTTTCTCACAAAAACTTTAGTCTGTATGACAGATTCCAGAGTTTGATTAACAAAGATAATTTCTAGTTATATATCAAGATCCTAAATCCTTCTTTACCTAGTCGAAACTAAGTAAAGAAAAGTTAATATCTAGTCTCAAGATATAAAAAAAATAAAAATTGTATAAACCTAGGTGATCATAGTTTATAACTAAATCTATACTAAAAAAAACTTGTCACAAATAAAAAAAACTAATATAGAATAAAACAAATAAAGAAAAAAAAAAAACAAAACAAAACAAAAAGAAAATTTACTTTTTGATCTAGACTAGGTATAAAAATATTATGTTTAAACAATATGAACATATCTCTTAAATTTTCTGTCTAATATCTATTCTTAGTATCCTCTATTTCTGTACTTGTACTATTTTATCTAGAACTTTCCAAAATCTAATACACATAATAAAACAAAACACAACTACGTGTTTGTTTGTTATATGGTTGTTGTTATTGGAGTTTTCTAAAAATAGTAATAAATATTGTTGATTGTTTGAAGGAGAGAAACTGATTTTTCCTTTTTTCAAAAAAAAAAATAACCAAAAAGAAGTAAAGTATATAGTTTTTAAACCACCTTGTGATAGAGAGTATTTTAATATCTAATCTAGCTTAGATATTATAGAGTATTTGCTAAGTATTGTTACGAGCGGTTCTTTAATAATCTGCAAATTTTTAGGTAACAGAAGGTTTTTCACGGTTATTATTCAAGGCACCA